AATAGAAAGGTACATATTACAATCTCTGGGTCATCCCGATCCTCATTGGTCTTGAGATTATACACTCAAGCAGTGGAATGTATCCCTTGTTGAGAAGAGGACTCTGACTGATTTCTTCCTCTGCCTCTACCTCTACCTCTTCCCCTTTGGCCTGCAGAAATAGACCTCTCTAGTTGTGCAGAATCATCAGCTACCCTGGGACAATCCCGAACAAAATGTTTGGTCTCCCCACATCTAAAACAAGCTCCATAAATTATCCTACATATCCCTGAATGATTCTTTCCACAATGTGGGCATTGTCTGACTTGACTCTGATTAGCTTTCCCAGCTCCAGATCCCACTGACTGAGTTTGTCTACCTCTCATCGGATTCGATCCTCTAGCGGAGGATGCCACTGACTCTGATCTCCCTTGGGGTCGAGAACTAGCATCTTTGTCCCTTTTTGATGGTGCAGAACTTGAAGAAGCACCCGTTCTTTTGACTGTCTGAGCTCTTGAATTTTCCAATCTCTCATTCTGAGCTCTTTTCAAAGCTTTGGCACGATTGACTACCTCTTGAAACGATGATAGATTCAATACAATCAGTATTTCCTTCAACCGAGGACGTAACCCCTCTACGAATCATTCACAAGCATCCTTCTCTGTAGGAACAAGCTCGGCAGCAAAACGGCTCAACTTATTGAATTCACACTCGTACTCATATACAGTGTGATTACATTGCTTCAAATTAATGAACTCTTGTTTCATCTGTCGAACACCCCTAACCTGTATCCGACCCGAATATGAGTCTGAGGTGTCACATTGACTTTTCAAACTTTGTCACTTAAAGAAAAACAGAAAAATTTTAAACTTTCATTAAAACAAAAATAAATTAATTTACATAAAAGAGATCACGAAATACAAAATCGACCAGGGCATTCGTAATTAACAACTTATTACATGCCAACACTTTATACACAACCCAAAATACCTACTTTGCCAATTACTTCTGATATGATCTTTTAGTAGTGAAGTTATTCTTGCCACTTCTAGTACTGCTCTTCTTGTTTCCTGATACCTACGTGTAAATCACTTACACGCTAAGTCATAGACTTAGTGAGGCAATAAATAAACATGTAGTTACAGATTCATGCATATGCATTCTTACCATTTGATCATGACATTTCAATATGCACGTATATATTTCACTATAACTGATATAATCATGTCATGTACATATGAAACTTATCTTCTTGTATCACTTTCACCTTAATTTATCTTTCAATTGCCCATGTACATTATTGAGAACAAAGGTATTTGAGTACATTGAGGTTGTGCACTAATGTTGTCACCACAGCTCAATAAATTCCCTCATGGTGCACTGAACATTTGTTCAGTATTTGTGCCGAATGACCACAGGATACGTCTCGAAGGACCACTGGATACGTCCCGAAGGACTAATATACCCTCGACTCTTGGCATGCCAACTATACATATAGCTCTCGTATCATATAATATGGGCTTTAATATGAATACATTTCTCATTTCACATCTCTTTCATAACTTTTCATATAAACACATAATATTTTCCATTATTTCACATACCTGGATTATGTTCTCTGGCAATGATATTCGTTCATTCAATGTCATATGAATTATACATGTAATCACTATTACAATAGTATATGTATGCATATACATGGGTATGGAATCATTAATTCAACCATCAGAGATAGACTTATCACAAGTCTTGTCTCTATACACTTTAGTTATAAAATGCACTCACCTTAGCCTTGCTTTGATTCGATTTTAATCCTTCGATTGTTCTGGAATAAGATTACGCTCTAAATCTACATAGTAATACATTGATACTTATCAGCATACGAATTGATATATTCCAAACTATTAATCCTTAGGTTAAAAGAAAGTTATTTACATCTCTTACTGAAGGTATGCATCGATGCACTACACCATGTATCGATGCATCCCTTGACGGGTGCATCGATGCACTACTCATACATTGGTGCATAAATCCTATTCGATGTTTGTATTTTAAGCAGGTGCATTGATGCACTCCTTATGCATCGATGCACTAATGGCATTCGATGCTCATTTATTTTAAATGAGTGCATCGATACACATGGATGCACCTTCAACAAATTCTGGGATTTTCTCATGATGCATCGGTACACGTTGAATGTGCATCGATGCACTCTGCCCAGAATTCATTTCTTGAACCCGAAAACTTATCCATTTCAGCTTAAATCTTTCATGTTTCATCCCCTTTTATATTCTTAACTCCAATACACATACTTAAACCAATTTATACTCATTTATTTCATCTTAAACCTCAGAATCCTATCCTCCTTGCGAAATCCAAGAATTATACCAACTTTGCAACATGATTTAATTCCACTTCTAACCCTTAATATGTCTTAACTAGATTAATGACAAGTCAAATTTAACTTCCAATTCTATATATGAACTATATTCTAAGATTTCATTCAAGAACCTCTAATCTTTAATCTCTTCTAACTCCATCATCCTTTGATTTTAAGATAACCTAAGTTTTCTTTAACCTTAGTTATCATCTAATAATCAAAACTCAATCTTAAATTTAACAAGAAACTCAATAATCAAAAAACTCACCTTTGTTTGCTTTACACGTACAAGGAAGGAAGAAGAAGAAAAGAACTCTAGAAGCCTTTGTGTTCTCCCTCTTCATCCCACGTGGATACATATATAACCCTTCTTTTATTATTTCCTTGTAAATGACATCTTTGTCCTTCTATTCCTTCTTTCTTTCAATTCAAATCCATACAATAATTTACAAATAAATCTTTAACTATTCAATCATTCTATTTTAATCACCAAATTATGAGACTTTACAATTTAGTCACTAACCCGGTATTGAGGATGTTACACTTTTGGTTGACCAAACTTGTATGCCAGAATTGTAACTCTATTTACAATGCCACAAGATTTGAAATGATGACACACTTCTTCAGGTGTGCATGCATAATCAACATGTAGAATAAAAAGTCAACGGAAAGTTCTCAAAGAGAAACAATAGTCGGGCAGCAGTACCAAAGAAAAAATGCTATTATTGCTTGGTTATCATGATACTTTCACCTTAAACCTTCTGCGGCTGCAGAGAATGAGAACATGATATGTTCTTTTTGTTTTGGGGTTGGTTTTTTTTTTGGGGGAGAGATAAGGCTTAGAGACATGACTTTTTTCTTTTAGCAAAGACTAACTAAACAAGCTCTTCACATGTGTGTTTCAAGGTCTAGGCAATGTCCTATTCAATTATCAAAGTAAAAATCTTCTGGCACTCAAAATTCTCTTTCTCAGCAATGCCGCCATTCAACTCCTATTACTAAATTCTAATTTGAGAGGTCTAATGAACACCACAATATAACCAAGTTCGACACTTTCCAACTGTTGTTCAACAAATTTCCCGTGAAATATCAGGAGAGCAACAACAACTTGAATATTTCATATCTTGTCATGTTAACCATAATTCACTACATAATATGTAGTACCTTCTACATATGCTAATTTTCTAGCATCTAACCTTGTATTTATCCACAACATACAATTTTGCATCAATATTCATTAAACTTGAAGCAGTAAAAACATCACGACAGTTGAGCACTTCAAAACAAAAAGGGTAATTTCAAATAAGAGATGTTTACGGAAACATGGTAATGAGAAAAATTAAAGTTTGATAAGACCTTAAATTGGGATATAACAACCAAAATACTAAGAGAACCCACAGATTGTTGGAAACCAGGCATATTTATCAAAAAATAAATACTCGGGGGGAATTTTCTTTAATTAGAATACAATTTCTAACGACTATGATCCCCAAGCTGAAGAAAAAAAATTCAAAAGAAAATTCTTAAAGGATATCGAGGAAGAGAATTCATGCATCTTGTTCTTAAAAAAAGTGTTTTAGTAGGATGCATTTTGTCAAAAGTAGGAAAAAATTGCAGAAACAACTAAAAAGGAGAGAAATAAGAACAATGTTATTTACACAAACAAACAACAAGAGAATAAGGCTACAAAGAAGCAAACAAATGCCTCTCACCGCATCAGCCAAATGACCACAAATTTTTGAGGTTCATACTCCAATGACCAACAACAACAATGTTCTTGCATCTTAGAGAGCATAGGTTAACTTGGCTTAGTTCTTCAAAAGAAGCAAACGAATCGCTTGCAAGAAGTTGAAGCATGTTAAGTAACATGCTACCTCCACCCATCTACTCCAAACCCCAATTGCACTTTTCAGGGATTGGTATTATAATCCTTTTATCTCCCTGATTTTTCAAATTTAAATTTTCTACATGCATCATATTAAACTAATAAAAATTTCCATCATATAGATTTTCTCTTTTTTTTCATATGTATTTTTCTTTCAAATCTTTCTCTTTCTTTTTTCTTTTTCTTTCTCTTTTTTCTCTACTTTTTACCCGTTCAGCATGTTTTCTTTTTGGACATTCATCATGTTCTTCCATCACTTTTCTTCTTCTTTTCCCCCATGAAATATTTGAGGAATTTCCTCTTATTTTCTCACTTTTCCCCTCTTATTTCCTTTTATGAAATTTTGCATTAAGATATCATTTCTACTATCTTTATGTACAATATCATTTGAAAGCAAAATAGCTTTTGGCCAACACTTGAAAGTCGAAAACATTGTAACTATTCCAACGGTAACACAAAGGCAAGTCGAGGAAATTTAACAACCCTGTTAAGGTCAAACCATGATTCTATGTGGAGAGTTACCCACATCGAATCCAAAGTCACCAGATATTCATAGATGTTAAAATGTTAACCCACATGCTAAAATGATCCATAAATAAGAAAACATACAAGATAGAAAACCCACCCTCTTTTCTCTTCTTAAGAACTATCCAAGCAGCTAGTAATACAAGAAGGTTCACCATATAGATGTTCTAGCTACAAGGACAACATTTTATGAGTCTAAAGGTAAACGAAGAAAGACAATATTCATCTCACATTGCCAAAAAAACAGAAAGTGAATCTCCTTCCTCTTTGTTCGCCTGATTAGCTGATGCACTAGCAGGATCTGTGATATACGGTTATATTTATTTTAGAACAAATGCTTATGTTGAGACTAAAAAAGTGGTTAAAAATAGATCAGCACCTTAGAAATATAGATAGAATTAACAAAAATCCAGGCTATAACTCCCTGTAAGAACTCTACAGTAAACTCTATAAACTACTAATTCAGTATAATCACTTTTATAAAAATTGTTCCAAATCCACTTGCAAATTAACTTTGAAGTTTCAGAGTTGATAGGTTTATCAAATTAAATAAATAACATCCAGAGAACCAAAAACTTATGCTCGAACATCATAATTGTATACTAAAATTCAGATCATATAAACATCGCCAAATAAAAACACGAAAAAGGAAAAAAATGCTAAAAAACCTTGAACAGCCCCCATTTCCTTCTCGCCCTTGGCCTGCATTTCACGGAGAGCCGCCGCTTCATCTTCCATCTCCTTCAATCGTTTCTTCATTTCATCTAATTCCTACAACAATCAAACAATTATAGTATCAAGAAAGGAGTCTTCAGTAGGGGGTTTAAATTTGTTTTTCAAATAATTACCTTGACAGCGTCTTCATCGGCGGCGGACATGTCGACGTCGGCGTTGTGAGGGTCCAATTCGCCCTCCATCTCTCCATCGTCGGGGATTTCAACTCCGTACACCTCATGCTCCTCTTCATCTTTTTTAATACCTTTCGGTGTTCGTTGATTCTTCTAGAAGGGGTCTCCCAAGTCAAGAGTACGTTCTCCACAAGATAACTTCGGATTTGCTCATGCTTTCACAGCCGTCCAATGAGAGAAAATCAACGGTGACCCTTCTCCCAGGGTTATTTATGCTTGCAATTTGCAAAAGAGTTATTTGGCCTTTCCGCGGTATTTAAACGACGTAGCTTCTTGATTCTGAGATTTCTTGGGTTGGGCCTCTTTCAATCCTAATGGACTTTATAGTTTACGTTCTCTTCAATCATACGGGTGTCGATCAAATTTTAATCTTTTGAATAGTTGTGAATATATATATATATATATATATATATATATAATTAATTAATTAAAAAACTCAGTGTGTTAAAGTTTTAAACTAATATAAAAAAAATCAGAGAAAAATATATTCCTTAAAGTCAGAGGATTGAATCCTGACGTTTGTGAACGAATTAAATTAGTTGAGAGGGTCGCCCCATATTGAGTCTATAATATCTGATCCAGATTAATCAATTAATAAATTAAATATAGGTGGTTAAAAAAGAGCAGTTGAAACTAGTAACGCGGAAGCATACAATGTAAAAAGCTCACTACCTAGTCCTACCAACTCATACACCAGCCTAACCTCACCCTGAGATGATAAGTAGTAGTAGTGAAAAGTAATAGTTTTCCATCGTTCATCCACCTCTCTCGATGCATGTAAACAATACAATATAATACAATACAATACAATACAATACAATACAATACAATACAATACAATACAATACAATACAATACAATACAATATAATACAATACAATACAATACAATACAATACAATACAATACAATACAATACAATACAATACAATGATGTATGCCAATAACAGTATCTTAAGACAGTGTAGAAGTAAAATATTCAAGTGTATCCTCTAGGTGGACTGATACCATTAAGCTGTCTCGATCAAACTTAAAAGAATTGTTTTATGAGCAGTTACTGATTCCTTTTCTTATGCTATATTGAACAGATACAGAGCTGCTACAACTTAATGTGTATATACTACAGGCCCAGCAGGGAATATATGTTCGTAAGCGATGGGGTTTTACATTGATATATAGTTCTGCTTGTAAGGGCAGCTGATTAATTGCATGTCTTGGGATGGGGATTTATATGAAACCAAAATTTTGTAGTTGAGTTGCTGATTGCATCAATGTAGTTGCATATTTTATACTTTTATCTTGTATTTTGGCTTCACTTCGGTTCTCAGCCTTTGTTTTCATACAAAGTTAAGAATCCCCTCTACTAACATCATTATGAGTTAAAACAGGCAAATGGCTTGCCAAAACTGCAACTTAGATAACATTATACATATGGTGACAGTAAGTCCGGCACTTCAATGTTTGGTGCTCCTGATATCCTGTATTTTCTTTGCTTCAACATTGTGTTCCTCCGGTGAGGGTCCACTTTCAACGCACGCCTTGTGTTTCACCTAGCTCATCGTGATTTTCGGGTGCCAATGTTCCATTACATACCAAAAGCCTTTCCAGCAGCTCCTGGCAGTCAATTTCTGTAACCATCGCACACAAGCTTGCCTTACCCTTCCAGCATCCAGTGGCTATTGTCGATGCAACCACTTGGATGTGGTCCGAAAAAGATTTGCTAGCTGATAAGAAAAGGATAGTAGGGAAATCATGGAAAATAATGGCTTTGACAGGAATGGCAGATCAAATGAAGTTACTCCAAGTTCATTTCCTTTGGACCAAAGTCAGCCTCTACAAATCTGCAAATGTGATTGATTTATATTGCAAAAGATGCTTGAAATCTGCTGGGGAAGCATATAGTATTTGTTTGGTGATGTAAGGGGAAATCATAGGCAACCCTTCTGATGTATCCTGAATCAGCAAGGAGCCAAGGAGAACCTTCTCTCGACGATTGGCGCCCCTATATTTTGCAACTAAATCAAATAAAATGAAAAAAAAAATGATCCCCGCTGATTCAGAAGCAAACAAGGTTATACTCAAACATCTTCAGGCCAGCAGAAGTTATCTTCAGTTGTTGTCCACCTCAAAAATTAAGGCCCAAAACTTCCTTAACTGATTTTGAAACATAAATTCTCTTCAAATGGTTAGCATCATTGTTTCTTGTAACAAGGACACCACTGAATGGGAACGATTCGTCGATACCATAAAATGTTTAATGCCGTTTAATATAGTTTCATCTTTGAAGAAAAGAACGGGATCAAATCCTTTTCATTTACCCTGCATCTGCAACTTTCTCTTCTTTCCGGATTTTGCTGAATCAATTTTCTTATAAGCAGCTCCTTGAGTTTCTTCAGAAAAATTGCTCTCTGGGGCACCTCTATGATTGCCAAGCAAGGTTATCAGGGTAAGCAACAGAAAAAAGACAGTTAATTACAAGTTAACACCATTAGACTAAGATATTCTAAACACAAAGCAAAATCAGCCGCATGCTTCAGCTTGAAGAGAATTCATCAAGTCATTCTCTAACACTGAACGAATATCCTCGCAAAATTGGCTACTGCAAAAATTTAGTAAAGATATTACTAAGAAAATAAATTATTTTTACAACCAAAACTCAGACCCCAAAGCTTCCAAAAGTTAAAAGAGAGAGAGAGAGAGAGAGAAACATACGTTCAATTGATTCTGAAAGCAGTAGATAATGGTTTTCTAAGCACTTCCATGAAAGCATCTCAGTTCATCAGGAGATACAGTCCATTGTTCCTGCCCCAAAAAAAACAATTACATACAATGTTTTCATTTTTGAAATATAGATGCAGGAAAAGCATGCAGAAAAATACTATTATTTACTTTGTGATATTCATCAAATGGAGGATTTTGAGTGACAAAAGGCTGCCAAGGTGGGTTATTAGAGTTGGGATTATTGGGTCAAATGAACATCTTCTTATCAAATGAAGGATTTTGAGTGGCAAAAGGCTGTCAAGGTGGGTTATTAGAGTGGGGTTATCGGGTCAAATGAGCATCTTCTTCTTTACGATGGTGGCTACGGTAGAGATCTTGAGAGAAGAAATTGAGGTGGGAATATTTTATAGTTATGCACTTGTTTTGATTTTTTGTTCTCAGTTATTTTGTTACAAGAACGTGGGCTTTCAACTTGTTTAATTCACAACATTAACGTAATGTATTCTTCAACTGCCAAAAAGGACAAAAAGGCAGTTTCGCAGTATTTAGATTTTGGTGCTGCCATGTCTGAAACAAGTAACTGTTGTTGCTGCAATTGGATGGTTTTCTGGTGGTTACCAAAAAGGTTAAATAAGCTGGCCCCAAAAGTTAGAAATTTATAGTTACTTGGCTTATACATCTACTTTTCTCACAATCCAATTTCCCTGTTTTTTCTTTGAGAAAAAAAAAGCAGTTTAACTTTTCCGGTAAAAGTCCACCCTATTCTATTAGTATTCAGTGCAAGTGCTTTTGATCACAAGAAGCAAGAAATTGAAAGGATTTAATAGTTCTAGCACATGGACCTTAACTGGCATTCGAGAAATATCCACAGTTTTGTGAGGCCGTTAAATGGTTGGAATCAGCTCTAATTGTCAAGAGGTGGCAGTAAGTTCCTATATAATAGCTGCTTTAGCAGGAATTAATTATCATTAGGTAGTGATTAAACCATTCCTGAACTAACCAGAAGAATAGGTAAACACCCAAAACATAATGTCTAAAACTCAAAGCATATTGTTCAACTTAAACCCACAAAGTCATACTCTTGGAAATTGAATAATCAAAATCACATCCAAATATAAATGCTATTTTAGAATCCGCATTCAACTACTGACACAAAGTTAAGCAGCGATGGAAGGCTTAGATGCAGCAGAGAGCCTGGATCTCTTCTTGGCCAAGCTCTCACTCCTGCGCTCACGCTGCTCCTTCAACCTCTGAGCAAGGAGCTTCTGGTACTCAGCAGCATCTGCCTTGGCCTTTGCAACTCTCTTCTTCTTCTCTGCAATTCTGGCACGCTTCCTCTGCAAGGTCAAAGGCGTCACCAACCTCTGAATTTTGGGGGCCTTGCTGACTTTCTTACCTGCATTTCAATAACGTGAATGTTATTTCCAATTCACGGGCAGCTTCTATCAAATGATATATATTATAAATGAAGAACACCTCTAGGAAACTTATGCTCAAAGGATCACTTTGTACTCACCAGATTTCGTTGTAAAGGTTCGGCGATAGGTATTAACATACTTCCGAACATCATCCTCCTTTGAGAGGTTGAACAACTTTCTGATCTTCGAGGCTCTCTTCGGACCCCTCATTCTTGGCTTCTCTGTGTCAGTCAATCCAGGAAGATCATTTTCACCCTTCTTAACAATAACCAAGTTCAGAACTGAAAGGTCCTGACTAACAATGCATCCCCGGACGGACTTCCTCCTACGCTCTCCATTCCTTCTACCATACCCACGGAAGCACGGGGTACCTGTTCAAAGGAAATTAGAAAAACACATTCAATGAACCAAAAATCCATACAAGAAAGATTACTACCAAGAAACAAAAGGAAAGAAGTTTTGGAGTCCACAGACCCCTGTGGAGCAAAAGGCGAACACGGCCAGGTGTGAGAACACCCTGCTTCATTGGAAAACCTTGCTTGTCACAGCCTCCCATGATCTTGAATACATAGCCCTTAAACTCCTGTTAAATGTTATTTTAAGGAGAAAGCAAGTCACAGTTTTGAAGCCAACACACACCAGCAGAAATTTGAGGCAGATAAGGAAAAAGTTAGATGTAACTTGGACACATACCTCACCCAGGGCATCGCCGCTGACTTCCTGTGAGATCCTTTTGTCGAAAAAGGCTCGACTGAAAATTAAGATGTCAAGATGAGTTCTCTTAATAAACAGTTACAACTTGCGTTGCAACAAGAAAATAAATTTACACTTGCAACTACCATCACAATACAGCACGCAAGTTGAGCTATCATCTTATAAGGTATTGTTGCCTATGTTTTTCTTGCCATCGTCAAATACAGGTTAATTATATCCAGCATGTTAATCCACCAAAATACTATATTATAAGTCAGCACTTCATATCTAGATTGGGAAAAAAAGTGATTTAAGAACCAAACATATAAGGTTATGTTTCAAGATTTATGATTCAGATCCATAAGCTTATTTTTTTGGCAAGATTTAGGAAATATAAACATTATTTACATTTCACAAATCACATCAAAGACTAATCAGCAATATAAAACAGAGTCAACATTGTTTGAGTTTGTAAGAAAGTCTACATCTACAACTCAAAATCAATGTTATAGACAAAAGAGACAATCATTAAAATATTAAATTTTTTTTCGTAGTTGCATAAAAGCAGACCTTTGAATAACGAAAAACCCAAATTTCATTAGCAAATAATATACATTTTTAATTTGCTTAAAAACTAATTTATTTTTCACATTCTGTATATACTCTGCAAGATCCAATCCCACCTAAATAACATAAATACAAATAAAAAAGCTAACACAGATTGAAGTGTGAATGGGAAAAAGACATAAATTATTCATGTGACTATTTTCATGGTTATATAACAAGCATTGAATTTGATACTAACATTGAAATTGAACCAATCAAGTAAACTTAATCTCAACAATTTGTTTAAAAAAGGATGAAGAGAGAAATAAAGGAAAATACAGTTTCTGATCATCATCAATTTCCAGCTTTTTCTGGCAACCAGTAGTTGGATTCGCAATGTTGAACTGATACAAACAACAACAAAAATAAACACAAATGAACAGAATAAAAAAAGCCAAAAAGGATACATATTTATCTATCATTATGAAAAGAAAAAAAGAAGAAACCTTCATTTTGGTTTGATGCGCCTTTCTGTCTCTGCAGAAGAAATGCCTCGACTCTTCTCCTGGTAGCTGCCTTCCAAAGTTAGGGTTTCCAGTGGATGTTTATATATAGATAGAGAGGGGATAATACAGTGTTATAGGGGACACCAAAACTTTTATCGGAACGAATTAGATTCATACACGTGGAAATATTTTGGGTCTAGATTTTATAGTTTGGCCTTTGGGTTATCTTGTTATATGGATTTGTTTGGACCCAAACAATTTATTTAAATAGGTCCAAAAAATTAAAACTATAAACAAAATATTTAAATAGGGATTTAGCCCCTAAACTTGTTCATTTTCTCAATATGACACATCAAATTTGTTGTCTTTATTTAAACTCATGTTTTTCAATTAATCTATACTCTTTTATATGTTTATATTTTAACATAAAAGTAAATAGTTAAGTAATTGTTTATTTCTAGTAAGGAGTTATTATTAAAAAAATCCTAAATATTCATAATTTAGTAGTTTAATGAGTTAATTACATCATACATCCTCAAATTATGAACCTTATTCTAAATTTATCTCTAAACTTTTAAATATTCTAATTTCATCTCTAAACTATAGCTATCATTCTAAATTAGTCTTCAAACTTTTGAACATCTCAGTTTCATCCCCAAACTATGACCTTCATTTTAAACCAGTCCCCAAACTTTTTGAGCATTTTAATTTCGTCTCAAACTATACAAACATATTAATCATATTCCTTGTTGATAAATCGTTAGGACAATTTATATTATTATGTGTTTAAAAAAATAAATTTTAGATTAAACTATTGTTGAAATTAATTACATATTCGGATGAATGTGGAGATGAAATTGGAAGATTCAAAAGTTTGGGGACCAATTTAGAATAGGGGTCAAAGTTTGAGGATGAAAATGGAATGTTCAAATGTTTAAGGGCTAATTTAGAGTGAGAGTCATTGTTTGAGGATAAAATTGAAATATTCAAAAGTTTAAGGATTAATTTAAAACAAAGGTCATAGTTCAGTAACATATGCAACTAATAAAGTGTAATTTATGTTTATATATGGAAGTTTGATTCTTATATATATTTTTTCTATTTGAGTTGGTGTTTTTTGATTGAGTGTTCCTAATTTCAATTAAAAGTTTTATGATACTATAAAGTGTATTATTTAACTTTTATATTTTAAAATTCAAATTAATAAATAATACTTCATTTTTATAAGAATAAAATCATAAATTTTATTTGTAATTTTAATTTTTGAAAAAAATATAAATTTGAATGAAACAATTAAACATGTTATGAATTTTAATGACTAACAAAATTCTCAAAATATTATTACCTATCATCATTCGATAGCTACTTCGATCTTTCTCTTCGTTATTTTTATGTGAAGCTTCGTTATATTATTTTGTAGCAGTTGCTTACATTACTAAAAGAATTTTTAGTGTTTGCACCAACTAAACAATATCAGTGGTTAAGAGATTTATTTATCCCTTAAAGTTTCGAATTCAAGAAAGTCTTTGAATAAATATTATATTTATCCATCTCAGATTTATAAGGAAAAAAATCTCCAACGTTTTTTTTTAAAAAAAAGAAATAATTTATTGAAACATATAGCATACAAGAAATATATTTTTTTTCAAAAAGAAACCACACAATCAAGTTTACAAACAAATCGAAAATCATATTCGTACACAACGGCATTTTCAATCTGAGGCTTGTTCTAGTCTTTTAAAACTTTTTCTCCTTATAAGATCATCAAACCTTTTTAACAAAGCTTTCTTCTTCCTAGAGCTCCTATCAATTTCTTCATCGAAATTGCTTTTATCAACGGGCTCAAACTCCTCCCCATTCATTGCTTCATCACCCGTCAAAGAAGACTTTTTCCTTTGATGGTTTGAGCTTGATGTTGAAGGAGTCTTCGGGGATTTAACAGTAGTATAAAAATGGAGCCTTTAAGTGGATCATCAGAGAAATCCGAGTCAGAATCACCATAACTTACTCTCTGTGGGAGCTTGGAATCATCATCTGCATCCTTGTTTTTGTAATTCGGGAATGATAAGTTCAAACAAGCGCTTTTTGATATGTTATGTTTAGATTTCTTTCCTTGTTGTTCTTTATAATCTTTATGATCCTTATCTACAGAATTGGCTGCAGCTTTTTGTTTCTTAACTCGCTCTGGATCATCAGCTTCGCAGTTGGCATCGCACAACAACAGCTTCAAATCCCTGATGTTGTCGACTGTTGTTGCTTCGTTGATCTTAAGGTTTTCGTTATCCTGTGATATGATACTCAAAGCTTCTTTTTTTTCTTGGCAATTGTGTCTTTGAGCTGGGAATTTTCTTCATTGGCAATGGTAGCTGCTTCTTTGGCTAGATTTGCTTCATTTATGGCTTGTTTTGTGATATCCCTCAGTTTCTGATTCTCTTCCCTGACCTTTATGTAGACACCCGTTTTTGTCTGGGTCTTCTTTTTATTATTTAATATTATTATTATTATTTATTTTATTATTATTATTATTAATTATTTTGTTACATATTTGTAGGCCTGCTAGAACCCTAAATTACAAGTAATACAAGCCAATCCTCAAGCCTAACTACAACAGACCAGCCAATGGCCCAGTACCCTGAACCAGCCTAACCCATTTACAAGATCAAGCCCCGACCCGAGGCCCAACTCCAGACCCGCTCAGTGACCTAGATTGGAATTAGGGTTTCTAAACCCTAAATACAGTAGACCCTTTAGCTTCTGCTGCCGCCGTCCTTTGTTGCTCCCCTCTCCGACAGTCTCTGACGTCGGCCGCCTGAACCAAGAGTGACCCATCAAAGTCAGAAAATCAAAAATTATTATCCTAGAAATATAGGATATTATTATCCTATTTTGAGCACTCAAATCTATCACACCAAATGAAAAAAGGGGGGATTTATCTCACAAATCAATCACCACATGCGAGGGGGGAGATAAAAAAAGCAGAGAACTTATTAAAAAGGGGGAACCATTCGGTAAAAAAAAAAGAAAAAGAGAGAAAACCTAGGAAAAAATCAAAATAACCACCGAAACAAAAAGAAAAATGGAGAAGATGATAGAGTCTTACCTCGGTTTAAAGGTCTAGGAGCCTGCCGGTCGCCGGTCGTCATAACATTCGAAGGTAAAACTCTAGATCTAGGGTTTTATGGTGAGATTTGTGCTAAGTGGGGTGGTTTTTCGGGTTGGGTAGGATGAGAGGATGAATTTGGGGTGTTTTCCTCTCTCCGACCACCACAGGCCACCGTGAACTCCGCCGTGAGATCAGCAGGTGGCCATTGCTTCTTCTCTCTGAGGAGGAGAGAGTTGAGAGCTTTTGAAGGTCTCTCTCCCCTCACTCGGTTTGAAACCGATGCAAATGAAAGGGGATGGCCTTTTGGCCTTTAAATTATATATATATATATATATATAACGCAAAACGCAGTCGTTTTGGGCACCCTATTCCCGTGTTTTCTGAGTTTTAAGGGGCTAATGGCATATTTAGTCCCTACAGGTTGAGAAACTCACCCGTGTTTCTCATATTTTTAGGATAAATCGCACTATAGGTCCCCGTGTATTTGTAACGTTCTGTTGTAGCCATTAAATGAAAAGTTATGTTATCCTATTTCAAGCCTTTACTTTTCCATCGTTTATATTATAGTCCCTAGATGACTCGTTTTCTTAGTTTGTTTTGATATGGACATTATGTTTTATCTTGTTTCAATTTGGTCACTATGTATATTATTTTGCTTATTATGAATTTAACTACTGATTTTATTCTTTTTTATTTTAGTCACCGATTGATTCTTTTTATTTTATTTTATGATTCTAATATTGTATTTTAGATTTATGCATTTTAGTCACTTGTCTATAAAGTTTATTTATTTTTTGTTATTTGTATGTCATATTTTCATGTATATATTTTAACATATGCTATAATATTTATGTACATATATCATGTTTCAAATATACTTATACATACTAATTTATTTTTATTTTATTTCATACACATGTTGTATCATATACAATTATATACTTATTAATTAAATTTAATTTTTGCCTTTGTATATTCATGTATGAAAATGTATTATTAATGCTTATTCCATTTTATTCAATGTGATTACATATGACTTATTTGTAAAATATCTAATTGCCAACATTTTATGTTATTTATTCGAATTTTTCAAGAACGTGAATTTGTAGAACGGGCGTGGAAAATACTACTTGATCGAAGTGGTACAAACCAATACGACATTCGAACAAATACGAACTTAAAATAAATCCATTTTCTTTTACTAATTAATTTATTTTAATGATGCAATGTGTGTGTTATTTTTAATTCACTATTTATTTCCTTTTATTCGAAAGCAAACATTAATTTTATTTATATTCGATTCGCATATTTATCAATGAGGGAATATTCTTTTATTGACAAGAAATAGTCGAGTTAGCTTTCACGATAGAGGATTACTAATTTCGATATTTCTTTTCGAGTTAAAGAATTTTCTGTAATTAATTTATTCGAAGCAAATTAATTAAATTTCAATAAATGGATCAAATTTTAATTATCGATGCGATTTATAGTTTCCACCATCACGACGATATGTAAGTGACACAGTACCAATTTTTGGGCGTTGTGGGGTGTTAGTCATTCCCTACACGTAATAGACTCTCGAACCTGTCTAAATAAATCTTTGGTAAACACATACCAATTTTTATCTTAAAAACGATTTTTTCTTTAAATTGTTTTTAAAATACGTTTTTAGGTATTCGACCTACCTAACCCAAAGGTCGATGGCGACTCACATTCGATTTAATTCAAATTAATTCCAAATTACCATTTTTTACAAATTAAAAGTCATAATCGTTTTTAAAAATAATAAATAATTATTTTACAAAAAAAATGGTTATGACAGCTTGGCGACTCTGCTGAGGAGTTTTTTTAGAGAGTCAAGCTGTAGGTCGCTTACACATTGTCGTTGTGGTCAAAATTATAAGTTTGAGTCCATAGTTAACTTATGATCCGTTTATTGAAATTTTTAATTGCTTCATTTTTTGTCATACTAACATTTTATTTTTGTCTTTCAGCTTTGTCAAGATTTTATCATTTTTTCCTTGTTTTGTTTTCCTTTTGAGTCGAAGGCAGGTATGTTCCTCCTCACACACATCACTGCATTTGCATAACATCAGCTCTAGGCACGAGCTTTGATCCAAATTAGTCAGGGTGATTGTTTTACTCTCGTAAGAATTTATTCTTCGTATGAGTTTTAGCAAATAACCCATGGGATACACATTTTATACCTTCGTAGGGATTTATTCCTCGTATGGGTATAAGGTAGTGAATCCCCTCGAATTGAACTCGTTCCGTTCGAAACCTGTAATGGGTGAGGATCGAGGGTCTGGCAGCCCAAGGGGGCACCGACATCAAGGATAATTCGAGTACCATGTTCCTGTTAGAGCCAAAACCATGCATATAGTGAGCTATAGAACGGTCACCCTAGGTATAGTCATACCGAACCTCTGTCCGTTCGTAGGTACCCAAAATAGGTGTACACAAAGGAGGAATATTTCTAAACCCTTATCTTTTACTTTAAGTTCGTAGAATTTGTTTTCTTTTTGAATAAAAGCATGCGAACTAGATATCATGCGGTTAGGATCATTTCTTGAAAATATCATTTTGGGAAGATAGCATGTCCGGGTAGGAATGTTATTTAATTAAAGCATGTTCGGGTAGATATCATGATTGGGTAGGTGTTATATTTATCTGTAGATAGCATCTTTTAACTCTATTGATTATCTTGCTTGTACTGACTAATTTCTTTTCTTTTGTTTGTGTATACTAACTCATTTTTTTCTCATTTGTTTGTCATTTTTCATCATTCTTTGCATTGCATTGCATTGCATTATCATGACATAATGCAAAAGTGTTGATCCGTAAGGGGATATTCGAGAGAAAATTTTCACAAGAAGAGGTGAAAATTTTCAATCAAGCAGTCGTGTTTACAGGCATGCACCGAGGGTTAAAAGAAGCTCAAAATACAAGAAGGAGGTTTGCTCGAAGATCGTGCATTATTTGGGACTAAAATGATGATTCATTGATTCGAAGAGTAATCCAACAATAGATTCTCATCTATAATTATTTCATCGCTAGTCATCAAAGAGCGATGCACTGACTTCAACACCGTAGGGGCATCACCTGAGTTAGGTTACAGAGCATTGAGGGATATCATTTTTTTGGACGAAGATCCAAGACGAAGCAATTATCCACTTCAAACTCAACATCTAAGTGAAGGCATGTATGCGAAGTGGATTGTCTTGTAATGTGAAGGTTTTTATTTCTGGTGAAAATTATTCTACAATATTCATCGTTGGGATCAACATTTTTGCATTTGCATTTGCATTTGCATCATTGCATTCTGCATAATATTCATTTAAGTGTTTTTACACGCATTAATCATACCTTGTGGGAAACTTTGAGGAAGTGTTTCTAACGGTGTAACTGCATTCACACAATACTGAGAATGTATGCAAAATTCGAGCAATTGAAGAAAGAGCTGGAAGAGAGTTTGTAAAATATTCAAGCAGAGTGGGAAGTTAAAATGGAGCAGGCACAAAAGGTCACCATGGATCGTATCTTGCAAAATCAAAGCGACCTAATGTGTCAAATGGTAGAAAAATTGGCTGGGATCAACCAAGAAAGAGGCAAAGAGAAGATTTCCTTGATTGGAGGAACATCCGAATGTGTGATAGCCCGTGCTAGTCCCTAAATAATTATTTCACCCCACAAGCTTCCAAGCCGCCAAGTAAGCTTATCAGCCACTAAAGCTCGTACAAATGTGATAAATCCTCAGGGTAATTCTACTAATCACAACATGCCAAATTCTAATAAGATGAAGAGAGTCAACAATGAGATCCCGGAGAATCTGAAATAGTGGTGCAGAGAGACATTCCAGGGAATGAGAGGACAGAGCTCTCACCACGGAATTGATGCAACAGAATTAGTACTAGTTCCTAACTTGGTGTTTTCGCCCAAATTCAAGATGCCCGACTTTGAAAAATACAGTGGAACCAGTTGCCCTAATGCCCATCTCACAATGTTTATTCAAAGAATGAATGGGTACACAAACAATGATCATATATTGATTCACTGCTTCCAAGCCATTTTAATTGGACCCGCTTCAAGGTGGTACAATCAACTGAGTCGTACTCAAATCCGCTCTTGGAATGATTTGGCTAGTGCCTTTCTGAGTCAATACAAGCACATGATCGATATAGCCCCTGATCGAACAACACTGTAGAATATGGAGATGAAGAATGGTGGAGAACTTCTGATAATATGCTCAACGATAGAGGGATGTCGCATCTCAAGTACATCCACTAATGACTGAAAGAGAGTTCATCACTCTATTCATTGATACGTTGAAGTCTCCATATATCGACTACATGATAGGAGCTACCACCAAGAGTTTCTCTAACATCGTCATGTGTGGAGAAATGATCGAAAGAGTAATCAAGAATGACCAGATATGAGGCACTAGTCGTACCGACAATGAGGAAATAACTGAGATTAACATTGAGGGGTCTTATCTAGCTAGTCTGGGGGACCAATTCTCATAAGACATTCTATGAAAAAACTCACATCAGTATAATTCCAATGACATATGAGGAGTTTCTCCCAGCGCTAGTTGAGATGAATCTGGTGACTCCAGTTCGGTCCAAACCAAGAGAAGTCCCATATCCTGAAGACCATGATATTAACGCCATATGCAGCTATTACATTGGGAGCTCAGGGCACACCACTGAGAATTGTAGGACATTGAAGCGCAAGGTCTAAGATCTGATCGATTCAGGGGCATTAATGTTCAATGTGTGATGGGGCATTATGATCGGAAGTCGGCCGGGGCATCCATCAGGAGATTTTGTTGCATTCTCATGCATGACATCTTGTTTGAATTTATTTTTCTTTTGTTCTTCTTATGTTTAAATGTTTGTAAATCACTTGACTTTTAAACATTTTCAATAAAATGCTTACTTCTTAGGAAATAACAATGAGCAAATTTTAATATTGAATTCTTTGTATATCATTTTTAATTAAAAGGCTTTTTAATAATTGAGGTTGTAAATTTATGACAAATGACAAGATTGAACTCCCAGCAAAACAAGGACTTCTTAATCCTAATCCTACACCAGACTATATACCTTTCTCTTGCAAGGACCAAGCTAACCATTTGCTACCATGGACAGTCAATCATCTTGGCGTTCAGGTATGTTTTAGGAGCGGACAAAATGGGACAACTAGCACATGAGATTGCAAAGAAAATTAGTTTCTACTTCTGCTAGTGACGTTCAATGATGATCATGATCTTCTCATATGGAATGGTCAAGTAGATGAATCTAGTTCAGGTCAGTTGCTTGGAAATTGAACTCTAACGAGGAAATTTTCAACAAACACTAAGACTATAACAGGTTCTCCTCAACAAGCTTAAGAAATGGAATCCGTATACTCAAAATATTATATTATATATGTATACAATAAAGCTGAGCTATTCTGCTAAATCAATTGGTTATAGAGGAAACTCGAAAGCCCTGGCTTTATGAATAGATTGCATTCAAACCATGACATTGATCGGGTACTTGTCAATCCAGTGTATGCTCCACTATGGTTGTCAAGTCGAAGACTTTGTGACGACGTGAATCCTTCAGCTAGCCGAACAAAGGCAATTATAAAAATATATGTACAATAAAGCTGAATCTAGTTAGCCAAGCAATGGCAAATTAAATCAAAATTACTAAATAAGAAGTTTCGGTGAATATGGACTAAGGGAGTTGAGGAACACCTGTTATAGTCGACTTTACACGAGCACTCAGAAATCTTATTTTTAGACCGATATTTCTACACTACCTTCTCTAGGTAAGTCTACGAAGCTTGAACAAATGGAAGATTTCAGAGAACTGAAATAGAAGTATTCTAAAGAGTCTAGTAATTAACTATGCTAGTTGTGCCATTTTATTTGCCTCCGATCGAAATGCCAAACTCAGAAAGAGGGGCATGCTATGATCTTCACGAGGACCAATCGATGAAACAAACCTTAGAATTTAGGTAGTCAACCTCAAAACCAACCTTTCGATCTTGATATTTGTCAAAGATTTGCAGCTATTAAAAATTAAAGAGCAGTTGATTCTTTTGAAATCCAATGAACATCCTTTTGATATTTTTCTAAGTTTTGAAAATTCAAAGGAAGAAAAGCATTTTCAAACAAGATAAGTTCTCTGGAAGTATATTGGAATTCAACGAATATCTCATAGGCTCAGGATCGAAGCTGGGGCAAGAGAATCTAAATTTACAAGGCAAATTTTGATGGGGCAATGAAACAAATTGTCTCAGGTCGAGGTTTGCAAGAGTACTCTCTGGTGGAAATGCAGACAAACTGAATCAATGATAGAGTGAAGACTGCTTTCGCAACCATTCTCCTTACAGATTAAGAAAAAAATACATCAATACATACATACATACATATAGACATACACATACATATATGATACATAAATTTTGCATCAACCATTTATCATCATGTATATTAAAGACAATTTTCTCCTCTCTTGAGGACAAATTCAATAAAACTTCAAATAAATTTCATCTTGACATCCATCATAATATCAAAGATTAGGCATCCATAAATACATCATTTTTATCTTTCAGGAAATCAAAGCTCGGAAATGACCAGATGTCTCTAACTTGAAGAAGCAATGATTTGGCTTCCTGAAGTCAACAATCAAGACATTTCCTCAAGATGCAGGAACAAGCAGACTTTTTACCACCTTTGAGGGTGTTTTTCTTGAAACAAAATTTTGTCTCGCTTGAGATAATTTTTCTCAAAAACAATTTTTGTCTCGTTTGAGACAATTTCTCTAAAAACAAATGTTGTCTCACTTGAGACAATTTTCCAAATTATGAATTTGTTTCACTGGAAATATACATCATCTTTGAGTCGTTTCTTTTGAAACAAAGGATCTTTGAGTCTATTTCTTTTGAAACAAAACTTTGTCTCTCTTGAGACAGATTTTATTAAAAAATCTTTGAGTCTGTTTCACCTAAAACAAAATGAAAAATCTTTGAGTATGTTTCTTTGATAACAAAATTTTGTCTCTTTTGAGAAAGTTTCTTTTGAAAGAATCTTTGAGTATGTTTCTTTGGAAACAAAATTTTGTCTATTTTGAGACAGTTCCTTTTGAAGAAAAATCTTTAAATATGTTTTAATGAAAACAAATTCTTGTCTCTTTTAAGACAATTTCTCTTAAAACAAACATCTTTGAGATTGTTTCCCTTGAAACAAAACCTATCTTTGAGTTTGTTTCTCTTGAAACAAAAGTCTGTGAGTTGTTTCTTTTGAAATAAAAATCTGTGAGTTGTTTCTTTTGAAATAAAAATCTTTGAGTTGTTTCTTTTGAAAAAAATTTGAGTCTGTTTCTTTTGAACCAAAGTTTTGTTTCTCTTAAGACAATTTCGTGAAAAAATCTTTGAGTCATTTCTTTTGAAACCAAAATCTTTGAGTTTGTTTCTTTTGAAACAAAGTTTTGTCTCTCTTGAGACAGTTTTTCTTGAGAAAAATCTTTGAGATTGTGTCTCTTAACAAAATCATCTGTGATTCTATTTCTTTAAAAACAAATTTTGTCTCTTGAGACAATTTTTAATGAAAAAACCAACCTTTGAGATTGTTTCTTTTGAGAAAAATCCTTGAGTTTGTTTCTTTAGAAACAAAATTTACAATCTTTGAGTATGTTTCTTTTGAAACATCATCTTTGAGTTGGTTTCTTTTGAAATCATTATCCCTAAAGATGGCTAGAACTCTTCATCACGTATGAGCCGTGTCATCTCCTGACCAGATCTCTTCATCACGTATGAGTCGTGTCACCCCTAGATAACCAGACGTCCTCATCACGTAGGAACCATGTGATCGCCTTTCCTAAAGATGGCCAGAACTCTTCATCACGTATGAGCCATGTCATCCCCCGACCAGATCTCCTCATCGCATAGGAGCCGTGTCACCCCTAGATAACCAGCCGTCCTCATCGCGTAGGAACCGAGTTATCACCCTTCCTAAAGATGGCCAAGAACTCTTCATCATGTATGAGCAGTGTCATCCCTCAATCAGATTTCCTCATCATGTAGGAACTGTATCACCCTTAGACGACCCGAAATCTTCATCACGTATGAGTAGTGTCATCCCCAACAACCAACATTATCCAATTTCTAAGTTTAAAAGGGAGAGAACCAGACAAAAACGTGATGTCTTGTCGTCTTTGCCTTGTTCTTGTTAATACAAGAATATGCAAAGAGGGGCAGCTGTAGACACTCGTTTTTGTCCGGGTCTTCTTTTTATTATTATTTATTTTATTATTATTATTATTAATTATTTTGTTACATATTTATAGGCTTGCTAGAACCCTAAATTACAAGAAATGTAGGCTAATCCTCAAGCCTAACTACAACAGACCAGCCAATGGCCCAATACCCTGAACCAGCCTGACCCGTTTACAAGATCAAGCCTCGACCCGAGGCCCAGCTCCAGACTCGCTCAGTGACCCAGATTGGAATTAGGGTTTCTAAACCTTAAATACAGTAGACCTTTTAGCTTCTGCTACCACCGTCCTTTGTTGCTCCCCTCTCCGATAGTCTTTGACGTCAGCCACCTAAACCAAGAGTGACCCATCCAAGTCAAAAAATTAGAAATTATTATCCTAGAAATATAGGATATTATTATCCTATTTTGAGCACTCAAATTCATCACACCAAATGAAAAAAGGGTGATTTATCTCACAAATCAATCACCACATACGAGGGGGGAGATAAAAAAAGCAGAGAACATATTAAAAAGAGGGAACCATTCGGTAAAAAAAGAAAAAGAGAGAAAACCTAGGAAAAAATCAAAACAACCACCGAAACAAAAAGAAAAAGAGAGAAGAGAAGAGAGTCTTACCTCGATTTAAAGGTCTAGGAGCCCGTCGGTCGCCGATCGTCATAACCTTCGAAGGTAAAACTCTAGATCTAGGATTTTATGGTGAGATTTGTGCTAAGTGAGGTGGTTTTTCGGGTTGGGTAGGATGAGAGGATGAATTTGGGATGTTTTCCTCTCTCCGACCACCACAGGCCACCGTGAACTCCGCCGTGAGTTCAGCAGGTGGCCATTGCTTCTTCTCTCTGTGGATGAGAGAGTTGAGAGCGTTTGAAGCTCTCTCTCCCCTCACTCGGTTTGAAACCGATGCAAATGAAAGGGGATGGCCTTTTGGCCTTTAAATTATATATATATATATAACGCAAAACACAGTCGTTTTGGGCACCCTATTCCCGTGTTTTCTGAGTTTTAAGGGGCTAATGGCATATTTAGTCCCTGCATATTGAGAAACTCACCCGTGTTTCTCATATTTTTAGGGTAAATCGCACTATAGGTCCCCGTGTATTTGTAACGTTCTGTTGTAGCCATTAAATGAAAAGTTATGTTATCCTATTCCAAGCCTTTACTTTTCCATCGTTTATATTATAGTCCCTAGATGACTCGTTTTCTTAGTTTGTTTTGATATGGACATTATGTTTTATCTTGTTTCAATTTGGTCACTATGTATATTATTTTGCTTATTATGAATTTAACTACTGATTTTATTCTTTTTTATTTTAGTCACCGATTGATTCTTTTTATTTTATTTTATGATTATGATATTGTATTTTAAATTTATGCATTTTAGTCACTTGTCTATAAAGTTTATTTATTTTATGTTATTTGTATGTCATATTTTCATGTATATATTTTAACATATGCTATAATATTTATGTACATATATAATGTTTCAAATATACTTATACATACACTAATTTATTTTTATTTTATTTCATACACATGTTGTATCATATACAATTATATACTTATTAATTAAATTTAATTTTTGCCTTTGTATATTCATGTATGAAAATGTATTATTAATGTTTATTCCATTTTATTCAATGTGATTACATATGACTTATTTGTAAAATATCTAATTGCCAACATTTTATGTTATTTATTCAAATTTTTTAAGAACGTGAATTTGTAGAACGGGCGTGGAAAATACTACTTGATCGAAGTGGTACAATCCAATACAACATTCGAATAAATACGAACTTAAAATAAATTCATTTTCTTTTACTAATTAATTTATTTTAATGATGCAATGTGTGTGTTATTTTTAACTCACTATTTATTTCCTTTTATTCGAATGCAAACATTAATTTTATTTATATTCGATTCGCATATTTATCAATGAGGGAATATTCTTTTATTGACAAGAAATAGTCGAGTTAGCTTTCCCGATAGAGGATTACTAATTTCGATATTTCTTTTCGAGTTAAAGAATTTTCTGTAATTAATTTATTCGAAGTAAATTAATTAAATTTTAATAAATGGATCACATTTTAATTATCGATGCGATTTATAGTTTCCACCATCACGACGATATGTAAGCGACACAGTACCAATTTTTGGGCGTTGTGGGGTGTTAGTCCTTCCCTACACGTAATAGACTCCCGAACCTGTTTAAATAAATCTTTGGTAAACACATACGAGTTTTTATCTTAAAAACGATTTTTTCTTTAAATTGTTTTTAAAATACGTTTTTAGGTATTCGACTTATCTAACCCAAAGGTTGATGGCGACTCCCATTCGATTAATTCAAATTAATTCCAAATCACCATTTTTTACAAATTAAAATTTATAATCGTTTTTAAAAATAATAAATAATTATTTTACAAAAAAATGGTTATGACACTTTAGGTTCATGTTTTCAGTTTCTCTGAGTGATTCAAGCAATGCTTTGCTCTCCTCTTGTGCTGCATTCCTTTCATTTTCAACCTTTTTTTATGCATTTGACGAATCCTTTCTCTTTTTCATTCCACGCCAATTGGGTTTCTTCGGCTTCAACCCTTAATCTCTCTGAAATGTTTTTGAATACCTCTGTTTCTTTGATTCGATGTACTTTTCCTCCATACTCCTGAGCTGAAGCTTCAAGTTTTGGACTTCCCCTTTTGTGTTCTCAAGCTCAAGGTTTGTGAAAAGGAATTTCTCATTGGTTTCATCTGCTTCGGCTTTCACTTCCTTCAACGCCATGGCTAAATCATCCATGGCCTTTTTGTTGTTTTCTTCGGCTTCAATGGTAGATTTGAGTTGACTCTTCAACGAGTCCACTTCCTCGGCTAACCTCTTTGCCTTCAATGAACAAACTCTCTTTCTCCAATGCAGAACGTAAATTTTCTTTTGTTAATTGAATCTCGGATTCGAGCCTCTCTAAATGGTCATCCCCCATGGAACTCTGTGATGCAACCTCGGATGAACCTTCGGATTTCTCCAGGAGGAACTTGATTTCTTGCTTGGATTTCTCCAGGGAAATCTGGGTTTGCTTATACTCTTCCGATTGAGCAACGAAAGAATTATATATCTTCTTCTCGGATTCTTTACTTTTCTCGATTTCTTCCTCCAATTCATGGATTCTCTTCTTCCCTTGAGACAACAAATCTATTGCTTCGGATTCAAAGGATCTCAACTGAATTAACTCGTTTTTCTATTTACGAAATGAAGTTTCTTTTTCAGCCAAAATCGCTTCCAATTCCTTAGCTTTTCTGAGTTCGGTTTTCAAGGATTCAATGTTGTTCTTCAGTTCTGTATGAATGTCTGCAACTTTTCCGGACACCATTCCAGTACAGCTCTCATCAGCCTCTTTATTGGCAAAGGATGGCCCTTCCGTTTCTTTCTCTGATGATCTGATCATTAAAAACAAACAAAAAAAAGTTTTCAGACATGTATGATCATTGAAAAAAAAATTGAACAAAAACAAAATTTTTCAAACTTACACCTTTGATTGAGATGGTAATGTTTTGTTGGAATGATTATGTTAAAGTTCCTTTCTTGGGGGATAAAATCAATGAAGAGACAATATAGGCAAAAAAATGCTAAAGATTTGGTGATTGATATAATACTGACTCCATTTTCCTTATAACAGATATTAGCAAAACAACAAAAGCTTCAAAACAAGCAAGTTTAACAAGGTGAAATTATTCTACAAGATAAAAGATGAACAAGAGAAAATTTCCTATTGGAGAAAATTACGGGACTAAATCAAATCATAATTGATGGGATAGAAATGGTTAAATTGAGGGTCTAAATTTTGAGGGAAATATTATAAAAATAAGAAATCTAAAAGTAAAAAAATGGATGGTTTTGTGGGAAAAATCCGAGGTTTCTGGATATTCCTTTAAAACCAATGCTATCTTTTTAATAAGATTAGACGACTAAGATGGTCAACATCCATGAAACAATGGTGCTTACTAATCCTTACTAAAAAGACCCATCCCTGCAAACAATCACTCACAGGTACAGAAATGACTCTCTCGTAGTATCTTCTAGCATGAATTACACCATAATTTCCATTCTCTATCATTAATATAAGGCTAAGATGGTCACACGTGTGGAAGTGTGAAGAGCAGTTCCTTCTCTGTCACCGAATTTGTGGCATGTGCTGAAATAATCAGTAATTGTCTGCACCAAAATTGGGGCAAAAGGGTTGATGATCCATTAATCACCACTTATAGTCACTAAGAGAGCAGCCCAAGGAGTTGATTGTTATGATGGCAGGGAAGTTAGGGTTTGATCGTGGTGATTTGGGGGAGATTTTGAAGAAAGGATTGGGAGACAGCAGCAGCAATTGGGGAAAGAATCGAAGGACATTAGGGATTGGAAAGGAGGTTAGGGTTTGATATTATAATTGAGATTGGGAATCAAGGGGAAATTGGGGATACGGCTGAGAGATATGAAGAGGTTATTGGGTATATTCTGATATCCAAATATTAATTAAATTGGGCTTCTAAATGGGCTTGGTCTGTTAGAAGAATATTAGGATAGATGAGAATATGGTGAGTCAGCAAAGTTGGTTATTTTGTTAGAGATGTTGTTTTAACAGCTAGCATTGTATATACATAAGGTGTACTGACCCTTTAAGGGATATGAAATGAATGAAGAACTTTTTCTATATCTAAATCTCTCCATTTTCTGAAATCCCTAAAAATTCTTCTATTTCTTATCCTAAATCATAACAAATTGGTAATCAGAGCTGAGTTTTTTGATCCAAAATCAATTATTCACACTGGGAAAGACAAAAAAAGTGTAGAAAACTGGAACCACAGAGGTACCAGAACAAGTAGTACTGGAAGTGAAGGAGGAGACCTTACCATCTTGGTGGGATAGGCAAAAGGCAGAGCTGGAAGGAAGGATTCAAACATTAGAAGAGGGAGTGACGGAGAACAGAGGGTATTTGCAGAGGATCTTACAGCTGGTCAATCAGGCAGCTGAGGAGAAAGATTCACCTGAGACAATGAAGAAACAACCACCACCAGCGGTAATAAGAAACAAAAATGAAGGTAAAAACCCATGTGCAATTACAGTTTTGAGCGAGAATGAGAAATATACCTTTCAACCTAATGAACCAGGGATATTAGCCTCTAAACCTGTGGGGTTTACTGGTCAGCAATCTTCTCATCCTAAGTTGCAGGAAGAAAATAGGATGGGGAGTTCTAGTGAGATTAAGGGGGGAGGAGATGAAAATGTGGATACTAGAAACTATGATAAAAATCCTTTTGGGAACACAGGCTATGTGTTACCTAGACCAAAATTGGAATTACCAATGTTTGATGGTAGTAATTCCAGGGGTTGGGTTAGGAAATGTCAGAAGTTTTTTAAATTGTTGGGAATACCAGAGGAGTAGAAAATGGAAGTAGCTGCCATGTATTTAACTGGGAGAGCGGAAACTTGGTTTGATGGGTATATGATGCAGAAGCATAGGGTTACTTGGCATGAATTTGAGGCTGATTTATGTCACAGATTTTGTGACAGAACTTATTCTGATGTTATTGAAGAATTCAATAAGCTAATGCAGAAGGGGAGTGTGGAAGAGTACTAGGAAAGGTTTGAGGAGTTAAGACCCTATTTGCTACAACAAAACATGCATCTGGGGGAGGAGTACTTTGTTTCCAGTTTTATCAGTGGACTCAAGGAAGAGTTAAAACATAAGGTGAAAGTGTTAGAGCCTAAGAATTTATTTGAAGTTTATAGGCAAGCTAAGTTATATGAGTTGGCTAATGAGATTGAAGGAAAGATGTTTAAAGCTCCTGCCAAATTTTTTTTCTTACACTCATTCAAATAGTCAACAGAACAGTGGAATTAAGACTTTTTTGCCTAAATCAATCCCTCCTAATACAAATACAAGACAGAGTTTATTGGAATATAGAAGAAATCACAATTTGTGTTTCAAGTGTGGAGAGAAATTTGCTCCTGGACACCAGTGTAAGAGAAGACAATTGAACTGTATGGAGGAAGAGGAGCTTGTTGAAGCTGCAGAACAGGAATTGACAGAAGGAGAGAATGGGGAGGTGGAAGATCAAGTGAAGGAAGCCCTGGAAATTTCGATAAATGCTATCACAGGGAATATGGGACATACTACCTTGAGGATTCAAGGTTTTATCAGAGGGAAACCTATTAATGTGTTAATTGATAGTGGAAGTACTCATAGTTTTGTAACTCCTAAGTGGGCAAAGGAATGGATTGAATTGGTTCATACACAACCCTTAGTTATTACAGTAGCTAATGGTGAGAAACTGTTTAGTACTGCTAGAAGCAATAAAGTGAGTTGGAAGATGCAGGGCTACGATTTCCAGCATGATTTCAGAGTTTTATCTCTGGGAGGTAGTGACATGGTGTTGGGGGTAGATTGGATGGAAGAATTTAGTCCTATCATGATGGACTTTAAAGCTAAGACCATCAGTTTTGAGAAAGATGGGGAAACTGTAATTATAAAAGGATCTCAAAAGCTGCCATTAATTAGACCCATCACAGGGGAGAAATTCCAGAAGCTAGTGGAAAAAGATACTGAATTGAATGGGGAAATCTATTTGCTCAATGCTGAAGTTGAAGATAGTGAAATTCCATTACAATTACAAGACTTATTAGAGGAGTTTAAAGTAGTATTTGAATAACCAATGGGAATGCCTCCTAGAAGGCAACATGATCATGCAATTGTCCTTAAGCAGGGAACTCAACCAGTAAATCTTAGACCTTATAGATTTGCTCATCATCATAATGCTGAAGTGGAGAAACAGGTTGCTGAAATGTTGTCATCTTCTATTATTCAGGTGAGTAAAAGTCCCTTTGCCTCTCCATGTTTACTAATTAAAAAGAAATATGGAACTTGGAGATTTTGTGTGGATTATAGGAAACTTAATTCTGCTACAGTTAAAAATAAGTTTCCTATTCTTATAGTGGAGGATTTGTTAGATGAACTAAATGGGGTTGTTTTCTTTTCAAAAATTGACTTGAGGTCTGGATATTGGCAAATTAGAATCAAGAATGAAGATATTTGCAAAACTGCTTTTAGGACCCATCAAGGACACTATGAATTTAAAGTCATGCCTTTTGGCCTTACTAATGCTCCAGCTACTTTTCAAGCTTTGATGAATGATTTGTTTGGAGCATACTTAAGGAAGTTTGTTCTTGTATTTTTTGATGATATATTGGTTTACAGTCCGAGTATGGCAGAGCATAAACAACATCTAAGAACTGTGTTGGAGGTGCTGTTGGAAAATAAGTTATATGCTAAAAGGAGTAAGTGCTTCTTTGGACAGCAACAAGTGGAATATTTAGGGCATTTAATATCAGCTGATGGGGTGGCAACAGATCCTAACAAAATTAAAGCAATGAAGCAGTGGCCTTTGCCTAAAAATCTGAAAGCTTTGAGAGGATTTTTGGGTTTAACTGGATATTACAAAAAATTTGTCAAATGATATGGGGAATTGAGTAAGCCCTTAACCAATATGTTGAAAAAGGATGGGTTTTATTGGTCTCAAGAAGCTATAACAGCTTTTGAAAAGCTAAAGGAAGTTATGTGAAATGCTCCAGTTTTGGCTTTGCCTAATTTTGAGCAGAAATTTTTTTTGGAAACTGATGCTAGTTCCAAGGGGATTGGGGCTGTTCTTTCTCAAGCAGGGAGACCTATAGCCTATTTGAGTAAAGCTTTGGGTCCTAAACATGAAGATCTATCAATTTATGAGAAGGAGTATTTGGCCATTTTGATGGCAGTT